GCGGCACTATATACGTCTGTCCCAATTGGAGAATGACATTATTACTTAGGGCTTAACTTTAAGTATTGACATTTAGATTCCCATTTAAAATACTAATTTATCCTTGAATATTAGAGCTGCACAGGCTGCTTATGGCACAGAAGTTCATTTGACTAGAGGTGGATAAATTGTCAGTTTGTTTTTATTGTTCTAAAGCCAAATGGATTTTTGACTTGACTGAAGAATGCCAGACCTGAAATACTGCATTCTTTGCCCCTGTCTGCAGGCATGTAGTAAATATAGCACCTTTGGGTGAGGCCAGTCAGCTGAGAATGAATAATCATTTCATTCATCTGGCTTTTGTCATTAGTTTATACTTGAGATTTTTATTTCTTTTTAACTAAACATTGCAAATCCTTTTTCTGGAGCTGTTCAAATAGCTTTTTAACAGCTCAATAGTCTTGTGCTGTGTTGAAAACAGTAGACAAAAATATCATTTTTGGTAATGTTAGCTACCAGCAGGAAGGTTTTTGCTCGTATGGTTTTTTTCCCCTAAGAAATTAGATGTTTGTCACTAATCCAGATGTATATTAATTCAGATTTTGGCAACATAACTATTGCAGTATGCTTTACTTGTCAAGCATTTTTCCTCTGGATGTGGCTACACAATAACCTTTTCTATAAGGGCAAGCTAATGTCAAGCACTCGGTGTGTTTGACTCCTGTGGCTGTTTTGGGGTGTTGCTCCACCATCAGGAATGGGGGACTGCAGCGAGTTGCATCCGTAGCTGTGAGCAATCTGGACCTGATTTCAGCTGATGGGTCTAACTGGTTGCCTTCCTCTTTCATCTTTTTGTTGCTTATTCTCTCCCTGGTGGAATCCAACAATGTTTGACTTATTAATGCCTAAGCCTTTTCTTTGAAGTCTTGTCTGTCATCAGGTATAACATACTGAGCTAAAGGATAGACTCAGCCTTGTGAGTTTTGTCCTTTTTATAGGCAATTTAAAAAGTGTAGTCTGAGAGCAAGCTTCCATGTTCCTCCTATGCCCCAGCAAGCTTAAGAGTTTTTATAAAAGTCAAAAGAACTTGGCATTTAACCTCTTTTCCTGGTTTCCTATCATATAATGCTATATAGCAAACCCAAGGGCTGTGGAACACGGGAAGCGCCTGTCTTCACCTAAAGAGCCACCATTAGCATTCACAGCCAGTACTGCTTTTCACTGTGCTTTCACATGGTGCCTTCGTAGTCGGGGGTCTTTTCTAGAGGTAGTGGTTTTGTGTATTAGAATAAGACATAAAACTTAAAATACTTTTTCTGAATACTGGTATTTGTTTTCCTTTGCAGAATAAGAGAGCGCATACAGTCTGGGGGGACGAGAGCACAGGACAATGCTGCTGAAAGGAATCTGAGCCACAGAGCATGCTTTGTGCCACAGTTACCCAGGTATGCTCCAGCAGAGTACTTTGTGCACCTCTAACGCACCACGGTTTGTTGTGCTTGTTGCTCCATTACTGATCATCCTCACCCAAGGAGACTGTCTCAGCCTCAGACCAAAATTATGCTCTACTTCATCGTTCCATCTGGATGGTACTTGCGCTCTGAAACCTTCTGAAGCCTTTTATGTGTGGTTCAGTTTTAATTTTATCTGATTGCTAAATTTCAGCTGGTCTCTCTTTAAATGTTACACTGGTTTGTATCATGAGGTAGGCTGAACATTTTAGGGTATGTTTTCAGAAGTCTTTTTCTTTTGTGCACAGAGATGATGTCTCAATAAACGAGGTACTGAACTACATATCTGGAAGCAGTTTTGAGACTTGCTCCAGACTGTTGTTAGAAACTGCACCAGTTGACTCACCTGCAGATAATCTGCTGGGTTTCAGAAGTCAAAAGCAGTGGGGTAGAGGCATCTGTCATTGCTTTGCAAACCAATGTCTGATGAGCCAATGCAGATTTTTCAGAATGTTTTTAATAAGAAATGTGAAACTTCCTGATTTATTTTTTTTTTTCCCCCATAAATAAATTTTTGGGGATGAATATTTAAAATCTTGATTTCAGTGCAGCTCAGTTCTGGGCTGTCTAATTATATGTTTAGGCTAAAGAAAGATGTTAAGGAGGTAAAGATCTGCCTTCTGTGATGGAGTCTAGGATTTTTCAAAAGCAATTCTGTGACCTGGGAGCCATCACAGTCCAGTAGCACTGTCTTATAGCACTGAATAAATAAATAAATAAATAAATAAAAATCATATGATTGTGAAGTGTTTCTGTGGAATAGAAGCTAACGTTTCTACTAGCACCAGCTGGCAAGTGGGAGTAGAGAAACAAAGCAAACAAACAGCAGAGAAAAGTAGAAGGAACAGGGGTGATAGTCTAAAAACTGACACACTAGGAGACCAGCATGAAGAATAACAAACTGCTATCGCAGGATGTTTTGCATAGCAACAGGACTCTTGTCTTCAAGTGGACTTTAGTGTAACTGCAGCCCTTGCTTCCTGTATGAGATAAAGAGCTGTTGGACTCTGAATGCATTTTAATCTCTATATCTAAATTGGACTAATAATTGAAAAGAATGAGCTGAAGGAAACGATAGTGAAGTCTAGTGCTCCTGAAAGTGTTTCCTCTAATTTTGCTGTCAGAGAAGCGAGAACAGAAACATGTGTAAAGGAAACAGATTAAAGATGAACTTTTTCACCAGGTGCTGAACGCTGTCTACAAACTACTTTGTCGATGAAGGAAGAAATTGATTGGGAATTGAAAGCGCGAACTAGTTCATAATACTGTTCAACATGCGCAAAGGGGTGCCAAAGGACCCAGAAATAGCTGACCTGTTCTACAAAGATGATCCTGAAGAAATATTTGTGGGTTTACATGAAATTGGACATGGAAGTTTTGGAGCAGTTTACTTTGTAAGTATACTTCTTTGCCTCCTCTTTGGAAAATGTAACCATTTTAAGTGACATTTTAGAGATCATCTGCATTTGTAAAAGCGTTATTTGAGCCCTTAGTGCTTTGTGTGTGTTAGCTTTCTCATAACGTATCTCAAAAATAAGTGTTTCCAGAGCACTCCTGAGCTCTTTAGTGTTACAGCTGTGTTTATAGTAGCAGTTGACTATAGTCTTAATACTGTACCTGGCCATTCAGGTTAAGTATATGGTATCTTGTGCTGTCTGATGCTGAAAGTTGAATTTAAACAGTTGGAAATTAATTTGCCAAACTGGAATTTCAAGATACTCTGCTTGGTGCTCATATGCTTGTAAATCATTGCAAATTAATACATCTAATGAATTAATGATTCAAAGTGCATTTGGAAGTTAAAAGCTACTTTGGTGAAGAATCGGTATTATGACTGCTTGGATAAAGATATCATGGAAGTTGCATCAAATTGCGTTCAGGCTTTTGAATTTCTCTGCTGCTCTGATAATCTAGAAGCTTGAAATATATTTGAAATATCTTGTTTCGGCACCCTCCTTGCCCCCACGTTTGTCTTGTAATGTACTGTCTTCAATAGCAAATGTTGACATGGCAAAAGCAAAGAGAAAGTCCAAAGAGGAATGGGAATTCAAGTCGGAAGGATGTATTGCATTAATTGATAATGGTCAAGAGAATTTAATCTGGAAGGTGAGAAGAATAGTGCTTTTATAATTAGTATCAAGTAAAGCCAAATCCAAAATATTAGGTTTGGAAATAATTATAATCCAGTTGCTATCAGTGAAACTAAAATAGAATTCACTACAAAACAAACAAAAAAAAAATCAGTCAAACTAAAGCTGCTTGATAGCATGGCCTGCCTCTACAGAAGATTGAGTTCACTAGAACTGAGATTTCTGAATATCAGACATTAAAGTATTTAGATAAGTGCCCTGACAGCTGTAACTCCAGAACCTGGCAGTAGCTGGCATGGATTATTTGCAAGCACTCCTGTTCACTGTTCATAGTTGTGTGCAGTGATGGAGGTGTTGGTGGGGCTGTTGTTAGAACAGGAGAGGAGCCTGATATTTTGTGTCAGATAAGCAGTGCGTGTGTGTTTTGAGGGATAACAATATAATTCCTCAATGTATAATACGGTAGAAATGGTATGGGGGGCCGTTCTACCATGGGGATTGACAACAGTGAGACAGACGCTTCTAGATGTTGTGGTGACAGGTTGGTGAAAGTATAGTGTTAAATGCACTACATGTGTAAGGATAAGGCTGTAAAACTTACACTACATGTTTGATCTGCTCCGTAAGAAGAGCAAGCTTTTTTTTTAAGGTGGGAGTAAGGGAGGTCCTACCCAGCGTATTTCAAAAGCCAAAGGGAAAGGACGCGTGGTATGCTTTAACGTAAAGATGAAGTAGTGACAGCGCTACCTTCATCATTTAGCTCTGGTGTTCAGCCATGCCTCATACTTCAAGGGGGAGAGCGTGAGGAGTGTTAGAGGGCTAGTCTAACAAGCAGGCTTACAGCTGAGATGTCACTGTGGTTAGGTAAAAGCCTCGCAATTCCCCGGTTCTTCCCTTCCTCCTTTCCCTGGTTGCTTTATCTAACCATTGCAGAGTTTAGCCAGACTGCAGCTTCTTGCAATGTCCTCGAAGCAGCTGCATCCTCCAAGCTGGATGGTGATTGCAGTCATGCCTGTAGTAATGTTACTGTAGTAACATAGTAATTAGATGCATCACCACTTTTCTGTGATACATCCTCACCTCTTTTGCCACTGTTTGAAACCTAATCTTTCCTTCCTGTTGCATGAAACACTTGGCATACAGTTCTTCAGAGTCTTTGCCTTGCCCTGCTCTGAATCACAAGCAGGAGCTCACCTGTTTGCGGTTTTCAGCGCACAGTAGCCCTTCCGTTCATGGAAGATAACTAGAGGAAGGCCTCTAGCTATCCACTGCTCTGCCTAGGTCATCCCAGAGCTTTTCCCTACTGCCCAGGGGATGCTGTGCATCTTTTGTCCCGTCCCCCTCCCCTTTTAAAAAGCTTTTGTATCCTGGCTTACATCATAATTCTTGCACATCTCTGAGTAAGGCAGAGGCTGAGAATAAGATCTTGGATCATCATGGCAAGGTTTCCAGGGATCCTGATGTGCTTGGTATCAAAAAAGGCGAATAGGTCAAAAAAAAAAAACTTTGAAGGAATGAGGCTTTCTAAATCATTGAAAAGAATGGGGAAGAGACTTCAAATACATAAAAAGAGGCAGGGCATAGATTGTTATGCTGTTGCTGCATCTCTTTGACCCTTTTCTTTGAGTTGGTACTGACACCACTACAAACAGCAAATACATAGATCTGTGTTTTTTCACTGTTTTTATTGTGGATTAATAGGATTGTACTAGTAAAAACTTCACTTTAAGTGCAATTTTTGCAAGCTGTTTTCCAGTATACTGTTGCCAAACCTTGGCAAGATAATTTGAAATTTCTTTTCTTACTTGAAAGAAATAATACTTCACGTATCAGAAGGCTAAGAAAAAATATGTCATTTCTCACAAGGTTTTAAAGTTGATGCTAACTTGACTTGAAATCAACTACATTGATTTCATGCTTGACTTCAGAAGAATAGTTTTCATCAAAACCAACCTACTTATGTCCATGTTAGAAACGCTGAAAAGTGATAAAGCAGATGAGGGCAGTGTAAAGAAGGTTTTGCAAGCCAAACGTGCTTGTTTTCTGCCAAGTTTTCACTAAAGATCTGCGAGTATGGCTAAAACTACTTCAGCGAACAGATACTTCTCTCGAGTATGCTTGTACAGCCCTTTAAGTTGTTTCAGGCAGGAGGATCCCAAGCTCTTTGTACAGCAAGAACTTCACCCACAACTGTGAGAACGTGGCAGTGTGCTATTCGGCAAAAAATTACGGTTGAAATGAGAGATACCATGTTCATGTAAAGATACTTGGAATTAATGTAACAGACAGAAATACTTGGAAATTTCTTTACAACGCCAGCATTAATTCATCTATTTGAGTAATATACTCTTGATCTTTTATGTGCTGAATCAGAATGATGAGTGCTCAGGAAGGGTTTTGCCTTATCCAGAAGTTACTTGTTTTCAGCTTTCTCTAACACATTGGAGGAGGAGTGTGTGATGTGAAGAGCCTAAGTGTGTCAACTCCCTCCAGTAATTCCTGTGCTCTGTTGGTTCACCCAACTTCATTTTTCTTTGAAGTCACTGTGCATCATGAAATGTCCTTCACTAATACATTACTTGAAAGTATACTACTCATCCTTTCAAGCAGTTGAAAGAAGGATTTACCACATATAACTTCTTTTGTATTCTAAGCCTTTAACTGTCGTTAATTTTTTGTCCCAAAAATGGTAAATGGTTGGAGGTACTGGGACTTCAACAATTCTCTTAAGACTGAAACCTTCAAGTTTGGTGTCCTTAACACACAGAAATGAGGCCAGTGCCAATCCAGACAAGTAGAGCTCTTTCTAAAACTGAGTTTTCAGCCTTTGGTTACCATCTCTGTGTCACACAGGCTGCAGAAGAGTAGAATTTTGCTGGCTGAGTAATATTCATTGTACAATTGAGGTCTCGTGCAGTGAAAGGAAGATTGCTTTTTTTTAACTGAGTTAAATTCCGGACTGAAGCATCTTCTTGAATCTGGAGATTGAAATAGCTGTTTGAGAATATAAATATTTTCTGGGTTTTGTGGATTAAATTATAGAGATTTTGGTACACCCATTTATCTGTTTCTTTGGAAAACTTTTTTCCAAAGGTTTATCTAAAACTGTTTTTACTGCAATTCCAATAAAACTGTATTTTGCATGTTCTCAGTAGGTGCAATGGTGGGCCTTGGTATGCGTATCAATAGGGAAGTAGCAAGTGCAGTAAGGGCCGAGGAAGGAACAGCAAATGTGGACCGATAGATGAAGTCAGGAAAAAGCGTTGTAATAGTTGTCTGGTAAGTCTTACCATGAGGAAGATGTCTCTGAAGTGTAGGAGCTTGCCAGGATGCGATACAGGAGAGAAAAACCTGCATTTCCAAAGGCTCAGCTCGCTCCATGGGGAGGAAGTAAAATGAAACTTTTTCAATCTGTTTCTTTCTCCCTACTCCAGGCTACAAATTCCCACACTAATGAGGTGGTGGCAGTCAAGAAAATGTCCTATAGTGGAAAGCAAACGAATGAGGTAAGATGAATAAAGCCAATTCTGCATGCAGAAGCTGTTGCAACCATAATGTAAATCTGAACAGTGAAATTAGCTGCGTATTTCATTTGACACTAGCAGACCAGCTTTTGAATGCTGTAGTTGTTGCTCACTTCCATGAGAAGCATGGAGGTTTGGGGAGGGAAAATGAGTTTATGCAAATTTTTACAAATAATTCAGTTTGAGGGAATGGGAATTCAGAATGCTTGTAGGGTGGTTATTTCAGTAATAAGTGCATTAAGAGCGTGCTGGCTGCTGGAACCATAACCACAGCTCTTTGAGGTGTCAACTGAAATGTATAGCTGACTTGAAACACTTTTCAGGATCTATAATCTAAAATGACCTAGACCTTGTATTCAGAACATCGGTCTCACTTCAATTGTTCCTTGTTAGTTGCTCCTCTTATTGTGTTGCGATACTTTGTACTTGGATCGACTGTTCATTTGGATTGGCGGGTTGATATGCAGTGAAGAATGTGTTTGTTAGGAGCCAACAGGGATGTTTTAAACTCATTTTTCCTTGCTTACCTGTTGGTCCTTCCACATGTGCTGTGGTCTTCCAAACGCCAGTTGCCTCGTGCTGCGTTACAAAAGGAAGCAAACAGCTAACGGTTACCATCTGTAGCACTTACTGCGTCACTGGACAGTTCAAAAACAAAATGATAGCAATGCTTTAAGTAAAATATATTGCAGAAAAAAGACCTTCCAGCTATTTAAATCTGTCTTGGGAGGGGTCTTAATGCAACAGAGATCCAGACAACTTCAGTTGTGTACAGTTGTGCTTCTGTAACTAAGACTTTTATCATCTTCATACTGTGAAATAGTTTTATGGCTGCTCTTCAGCCTGTATTACAGTGTGTGGTGTATGAGAGTATGTAGGGGATTAAGCAGAGAAATATATTTAAACCTTTTTGCGCTTTTTTTTATTAGAAATGGCAGGATATCATCAAAGAAGTCAAGTTTCTACAACAGCTGAAGCACCCCAACACCATAGAGTATAAGGGCTGTTACTTGAAAGAGCATACGGCATGGGTGAGTGATGTGGCATTTAGAGGGCTTCATGAGCAGAAAACGTACGGTACAGCAGTCAGATATTCAGTACACGCGGTGTCTTTACGTGTGGCAGTATTTATCCCGCGCTGCCTGTCGTCCCTTTCATCTGAAGAAGCTTCCAGGTAATTTAAAGGAAATAGTTATTTAGGACATTGGAACAAATCCCTGCTTCTGAGGCAGGCCTCTGTGTTCGTGCAGATTAAACTATTATGGAACATCCTCTACAATTTCTCCCTCCAAACTTCAGTGCCTAAATCTTCTTTACAACAATGAAAGATGTCTTGACATTGCTGGAATGTTGAGAAGCTTTTATTTTGTTCATCGCTTATTGCATTTTTTGCAACTTAAGGTTTTACTTCTACTGTTTCTCAGTCATTCAAGTAGTAGGTGGAGAAGCTGTGCCCAATTATTTAAAAGCATGCTTTTTTTTCTTGCAGTTGGTTATGGAGTACTGTTTAGGATCAGCCTCTGATTTGCTAGAGGGTAAGTTTTATATAGTCTTTGATTTTCTTTTTGCTAGTGCCCCTTCTGAGGCTGTCTTCTCAGTCTGGTATTTTGCAGATGGTAGAGGCGGTCTGTCTATACTACTCCATCCTGTAGCTGGAATGGGTGTGTTTGTGATACCCAGGGTACGCTGAGACTTTCCCAGGAGGCCAGTGCTACATGTAGTTGGCATGCACATTTGTATCTTGTAAAACAAAGGTATCAACTTATATAGCAGTGTTCCTGTAATTTGTGCCTTCTTGATGACTGAAGCAGACTGCCTGTTTTCTGAATATCCATAATAAAAACCTGCAGAGATCACCTTTGTCCTTGTCTTACAGTTTCTGGGATAATCACAGATGGTTTTATAGAACAAGAGGCTGATACGACCTCAAAACTAGAACAGCACCTGCAGAGGAACCGGGAGTCCAAGCTGAATTTGAAAAAACTAGTACTCTTTGTGGGCCGTCGCTTTTGTATCTAAGATACAGTCAGCCAAAGGCACATGCTGGTCATATTTAGGGATATATGGAAGTCATATTTAGGGATATATGGAAGATGCTTTGGAGCATCTTTTTGTAGCTGGCATTCCTCATTTTCCTGGTTTTGGGCTATTGCGGGGGGCAAGTGGCAAGTTTTTCTTGCTAAGGACCAAATGAATATTTCAAATACATTTGGCAAGCTGCACTCAGACATATCTCCTGGTGTTAACGATAATTGTTGGCCCTAGCAGAAATGTGAAGAAAAATGTGGTTTCCTATGATGTGAAATACATGCACAGGCTATACATGACAAAGAGTTGCTAATGGCCCTCAGGCCGTAGGAAACTAGTACGGAGAAGATGATGTTAACCTCGTAGCTGGCAAAATTGTTGGGGTTCCTTCTATGCTTTCTCAGGAAATGATCACGCTTACCTTATGTTTTTTCTGGATTTTTTTTTCCATAGTTCACAAGAAACCACTTCAGGAAGTGGAGATTGCTGCCATCACCCACGGTGCCTTGCAGGGGCTGGCCTACCTGCACTCTCACTGTAAGATTCATAGGTAAGGCAACAGCTCGGTGCTGCTTAGACATCCTTCCATCTTCCACTCTCTGGAGTCTGAAAATTGCTTTGCTGCGTTTAAGCAACTTCAGTAAAGGTTATTCTACCAAAATTTTCTCTAATGGACGTGTCAGTACTCCTAATGCTGGGGTAGAAGTACAAATAAAAGCTGTTGGCTGTTAAGGAGTGTGTGGGGTTTTTTTTGGTTGAAGTAATTTCATGTTCCTATATCCTCTGCTGAATTTTCTTCCCTATTAGTAATTTTTCTCTGCAGACCCTGGTAACGAAGAATACACCTGAATGTGGGCAATAAACACTGACAGGAAAATATCACCCTAAATTTGCCAAATAAAGCAGAGTGATATAGCTAGACTATTTTTAAGACTAGACATGGTGAGAATGTTTTATGTATGAGTAAGTAAAACTTTTTGCTTTCAGATATCAGTCGCTGAGAGCCTAAGTGAAGGGTAAAACTACCTTAGGAGAAATCGGAGCCCACAGGCAGAGGAAGATTTTATAACAGGCTGCTCATGGATGTAGCTCCTAGATCTGTCTTTCATAATGTGGTATTTTTCAGGAGTTTGGATTTTTTTTTTTTGACTCATTTGTCAACAATGTTGCATGTTCTCGTTTTATGGTTTTTTGTCTAATTTTGGGTACTACTGACACATCAGGGACTTGTGAAATGACAACTAGATTAGTGTAATGAGTGGGGAGTCATCAGAACAAGGCAACGTGAGGCTAATTTATGGGGCTAAAAGCCTCTTTGTAGTCTACTGGCAAACTGCACAGAAAATTGATATATCTGAGGCAGTGAGGGATTTTTACAAAGGCAGGAATTATTTGTCACTTGTTAGAATAACTATTTGGGGCATATCTACACATGGTTATTAAATCGTATTTAAGAGAAATACTAATTTAAACATTAATAGCAATTTGTGAAATTAAGATTATTTTTGAACAGCCCTTTGCATATATGCCCTTATTTGAGCATAAAAATACCCGTTCTGAAATACTGTACGTGCTTTCAAAGTGCATTGAATTCTTATTTATAGTAAATGACTCCCTGTATGGATACTATTGAGAATTAGTTTTTTCTTGATACTCATTAGGACTTTCTAACATGGTGCAATTATTGTGTTGTAAATTCAGCAATTTCACATACTGAATACGAGCTACTCTGTGTGAACGTTCCATTAGTGTGCTTATAGTGTGTCAAGAACAAAGCTGGTTATTTCTCTTCCAAACCTGGAAAAAGTTACTTTTCTGTTGCAGCGTGCTGAGAGCGGCTATAGGGAGAGTTACTGCTACATGTACCAGACAGGCGTTTCCTATCTAGTTGGGTTTTTTCCAAGAGGTATTCCGCCTTTTAATTTCTGACGTGATGAGAAGGCAAATCTCTCTCAGAATAGAGGACCATCAAGAGATTTCTAGTTTTCTGATAGATGTATCTTAAAAAGGAGAGGTGAAAGAGTGCTGTGCCCTAGCTCCGTTGTTCAGCAACGAGGAGTGCTGTGCTGATGCACACCGTAACAGGGAGCTGGGCACCTGGAGGAAAACACCGTGCTCGCCTCTGCTGGGGCAAGTTCCAAGAGCACTGAGGAAAAAGTAAAGCAAATGCTGAATGAGAAGTGACCAAAGCTGGCAGCTGGGACAGCTGTGGTTTCCCTGCCCCACAGCAAGGAAGGCAAAGCGAGCGTGACCTGGAATGGAGGGACACCTTGTGGAGATGCAGGACAAAGCAAGTCTCTGATCTCGCCTCCTGAGCTCCCCGAGTGTCTCTGCTACCAGTTAGTTCTAATGTCATACACTATGGGATGGCAAAGGGTGAGATTATTTGCTGTTTAATCGCAGGCACAAGGCAAACCTAAGTTAGCAAATATGTTTGCTGATACCTAACGTGGCCGCTGAGTCCTCTGTTGATTGTTGTACAGTGAAGGTAGCGGTGGAGATAACAGTAAAGAGGACAGCCTGTGCTGTCTGTTTTGTACTTTTGAGGCATGCATTCTTGCACATACAAGACATCTTTAGCACTTGTCCACCAGCAAAAGTGACAGATGCATAGACGACATATTTCTGAATAGCGCATGCCTGCAAAAATAATCTATAATCCTAGTTTTGAAGTGCTACTGTGCTGGGAATGGGGAACAGAGGTTCTGACTCTGCTGCTGAAATACTGGAAGTAAATTTCTGTCTCTGTGGCTGTCTTTATCCCAGTTTTGCCTGTCCCGTGTGCTGCCCTGTGGAGACAAAGGCATGTCACCAGTGTTTGTGTCACGCTAAATGTAAAGGATCTTTCAGCTCACCTGACTGGCGACCGTAGACTGGGTCTACAGTGATACTGGATTTGTATTTGATGCATAAATCATTATGCTTCAACTGTTGTACTGTAATTCAGTGTGTGCTCTTCCTCTACAGCAAATACAAGATAGATAAATGGGAAGGGAAACAAAGCTAATTAGCTCGTTTTCACAGAGTCAGAGGATAAGTGTGTTTGGCAACACACAGAAACTTGTGTTGGAGGTCCACTACTACTGATAAGTGGCTTTGGTGTTTAAGGACTTATAGTTGAACACCACATAAGGAAAGCTGGTATTTTCTTGATGCATTTTTTTGTATAAAATACATTATATTTTTGAAGAGGTGGCAAAGAGACATTCCAGACGGTATGGCATATAAAGCCTGGCTGAAAGGGATCCCATAAACGTACTCCATTTAAGTTGAGGGTCTGCTTTTGCAAAAGCAAATAGCTTTGCCCCATGTAAAGGCATCTGTGGCATACCTGGTTTGCAATTTTCCCTTTACTATTGAAGTCCTGTATCAGGATTATAAGGAACATAGAATCATAGAATCATCTAGGTTGAAAGGGCCCTTGAAGATCATCAAGTCCAACCATAAACCTAACACTGCCAAAACCACCACTAAACCGTGTCCCTCAGCACCACGTCTACCTGTCTGTTAAATATCTCCAGGGATGGTGACTCCACCACTTCCCTGGGCAGCCTGTTCCAATGTTTGATAACCCTTTCGGTGAAGAAATTTTTCTTAATATCCATCCTAAACCTCCCCTGGGACAACTTGAGGCCATTTCCTTTTGTCCTGTTGCTTGTTACTTGGGAGAAGAGACCAACCCCTGCCTCGCTACGCCCTTTTTTCAGGTAGTTGTGAGAGCGATAAGGTTCTCCCCTCGGCCTCCTCTTCTCCAGGCTAAACAACCCCAGTTCCCTCAGCCGCTCCTCACGAGACTTGTGCTCTAGACCCTTCACCGCTTTTGTTGCCCTTCTTTTCACTATTGTGATTTTCAGCTGGCAATATGTAAGTAGACCTGAATTTCTTAAAGCAGTCCTCCTTCTTTTATATCAGATGGGTAGAAAAAAATATATTTCAGGTATAACAGACGAGTCTGCAGAATTTGTAGGTATTAGAAGTAAACGGTGCACAGGTGAGTTCTTCCCTGACTTTGAATAGTGTCATTGCCAAGTGTCTTGGAAGGTATGCAAATTGAGTTAACCTTTCTCAGCATTTGATGGGCAGTTAATCTGAAATTAACCCACTTATTGCCAGGCTTCAGAAATTTATGGTGCCAAAGGTGTTGAATGTATCTTTTGCCTTTTGTATTGCAGTAGCTTCATTATCGTTAATTGCGTAAACATATGTATTATCCAAGAATTGTAGGAAGGATAAGATAAGGGAGCCTAGGGCACGTGAAAGATGAAAATAACGTCTGGTATCGTTTAAAGTGTCACAGCTGGGTATTAGGACACAACTCTCCTGGATCTCAGTTTGGGGCATCAACCTTGCAACCATGGCTCATCTCCTCTCCTTTTCTCTTCCCTCACCTCCTGCCCTTTTTGGGTGCAGCCAGATTTCCATTCCCCAGAAAGCCATGTATCCAAATTCTCTAGCTTTCCGTAATAGCAGATTTCTAAATATTCTCAGGTTTTTATGAATGTTTAATTGAGAAAAAGTTAGCGGACTTCTGTGTGTTTGTAAATTTTTGAAAGTTATTCGACTGTAACTGGAAGTATACTTTTCTTTTGTTTTTTTAAAGGGATATTAAAGCTGGAAATATTCTTCTAACAGAACCAGGTCAAGTGAAATTAGCTGACTTTGGGTCAGCATCTATAGTCTCCCCTGCCAATTCTTTCGTGGGAACGCCTTACTGGTGAGTAAAGCCTGCAATACTTCAGTCCTTTAATAAGACCGCTCTCTTCCATTTCCAGCGTTTCACAGTCTGAAAATAATATCTGGCATAAAAACTTTATTAACCAAGCAGTTTCCTTAAAATCCCTGTGTCCAGCTCTTCAGGAGATGTGTTCTTTCTCAGTGCCCATGAGTAGAGGTGGGCTGTGCAGCACTTTGAAATGATACCAGTTGGTGTTTCAACTGTTGTAATGCCATTGGCTTAAGAATTATTAATGCTCGCCATAGGTAATGGAACTAAGATGACCACATGGAGAAAGGGAATCCTGCTAATCTGGCCATGCAGACTGGAAGTCGCACAGCTGCTTAAACCTGTTTTAAAGGAACTTGCTTAAGGGTCACTTGAGTTGCTTGGCATTCCTAATGTAGTGGACCAGCATAGTTTTATGCTCCACTTATTTTGTGGCAGACGCCCCAGGCGTTGATGGGAGGTCACCTATCGCCCAACCTCTGAACAAGTCCATTTGGCAAGAAACCTGCTTCGTCTTTGAAGAACAGGAGTTAAGAGCCTGAATTTTTGCAGGCTGGGCCCGCTGCTTCTTCCTCCTGCCTCCAACTCATCCCTTTATCCTGGACCAATGTATTTCCCCACTGTTCTGGATTTCCCTGTTCCTTTCATAGCGACACTCACAGGCTGCATATATCTGCTGGAAAATTCTTCTGGTATGCCAATGGAAAACCCACCATCTCTGGTGAGAGTGAAAGTGATACCTTTAGGACTCTCCCAGCCCTTGCTGTCTGCCTGCAGGTACAATGCCTTTGAGATTGGTGTGGGTCTCCCATGTGCCAGCATGTTGCGCTAACAGCGAGATGATCAGGTTGGCCTTTTATTTACTTTCCTTTCTTAAACTGCCTCTTGGAAGAGTTGCTAGTGCAGGCAAGCATTGTTTCATTTCAGCATGGCTTTCCTCAGCTCCATGCTGGCTCTTTAAGTTCTGGTCCGCTGCGCTGCTGAAGATAATGAAGCCGTCTCATTTTAAGCTATGTGCCGGGAGTCACAATTTGTATCCCCTAACCCGCATGTTTTGCACTGTGGTTGGTAGGATGGCACCAGAGGTGATTCTTGCTATGGACGAGGGACAGTATGATGGAAAGGTGGATGTCTGGTCTCTTGGGATCACGTGTATTGAGTTAGGTGAGTAAACGCTTGGCAGCTGAGATGAATCATTAATTGTCTGCAATATTTATTAGGAAGTCCTGAAAAAAACAGAAGATTCTTATTCCTCGTAAGTTTGGTCTTTTTCTTTAAAAAGCCTGACTTGGAAAGCACTGTCAGTTGAGTTAAATCTTTTACTCACTGGCAAATCAAGAGCAAGCCACTAGTGCTGCCGTGCTTTAATGTTAATCTGGTGTGCTCAGTTATTCCCTTAGTAACTAGAGGATCCTAGTCTTGTGTGAGAAGAAACTGTGGTTCTAGCCTGTATTTTTCAAGCTGGGTTTTGTTCCAGCTATTATGTCAAGGCAACTGGTGTCCTAAGAATTGTGTCAGAAGGGACCTACATTTAATTTTCAATTCTTCTTACTTCCTCACTCTCTGAAACAAAAATCTTCAATCTCAGCTGAAAGTTTGTGACACGAATCAACGCGGACAGGTTCTTTACATGAGAAGAAAAGGGTTTGCACTGCAAAGGGCAAATGATACGCATCCACACAACCTGAAGCAGATGTAGATGTGATAGCAGGTATACAGAGCAGATGTGTGCACTTTAAGTTTGAATATTGACATTGCATGTGCTGAGTAGATTATTTTCAAAGATACTCTTGATATGGATTATATTTGACAGCAATACATCAAGAACTTATTGCGAGGGCAAGTTCACTGAAAACGTTATTTGTAAATGTTTAATCAGCAAAGCATATGAGATAAGAAAGAAAGGCATGTACAGAATGGGAAGAAATGTTGACCCCAATACAGAGATGGTAATGGTGTAAATGACTAGTGACTTCCAATGTTTTATTTCATGTGCCAGCGCTAATGCCTTGCTGACACAATCTGTATTTTGATATAAAGAATGCAAAAACCAGAAGTTCTAGACTTCTGTTCTTCCACATGGCCACTGATTTATTTTTTTTTTTTTTTTTCATGTGGCATTTAGACTGTCGTGGCCTCTCAAGGATTGAATCACAGTGGTAGAATAGATGTTATGCTACCCTCCTGAGTCTGACAGTAGAATTTCTGTGGAGCTTTTCAGTCAAGAACCTCAAAGCCATTTTACATAGTTGATGGGTTTGCTTTTTTTAATATTACACTTTTAAGAAGTAATAATCTTTAAAAAAAAAAAAAAAGTTAGAGCTTTGCCTTTGCATGATTCCGTATCTGAACATGGGGTCAGGTAGCAGTGGGAGGAAATCTCTTGTTGAGCACCGCTTGGCTTTCGTTGAGTGCTGGTCTTAATTTCTTGTGTAGCCTAAAGTAAGTAGTGTTTAAAGCAAAGAAAATGCGGTGGTTTGCATGCATGCTGCATGTGAAGGACAAGTGATTGCTCTGACCTGACATGAACTTAAAAATCCTGGCATCATGGGCTGATGGGCATGACTGACCTTAGCTGGTGGTGAGAATTGGCCTTCCTCCATTTCTGCGGGACATCTGCTGCACTCATGAGAGGTCAGGGGCTGGTAGGTAGGTGTCCTCCTGGTGCAAGGACTAGGAATAATTTTAGTTAGGGAGAGTTAATGACACCTCTGGCGAGTGAATTTGGCAAACTGTCCTACTTGCAGGTGACTGCCGATGACAGATGAAACGGGCAGCCGCTCTTTTCCCTTAATGCAGGTGCTACAGCAGTGCATCAAAGATGTGTAGGGATTGATACCTAAATTTCCTAGCCTGGACATTCTGTGGGTCTGAACTCTGTTTTAGTCAGCTTCTGCTGATCTTACCGTAGCAGGTCAGGTATAAAATGTTGCAGTTAAGGTAAAATTTGCTGGAAAAATTACCTTATAATTTGCATCCTGTTCTCTTTGGATTTCATTATCCCCTCTTCAGGTGAATTACAGCTTTCCTTGAGTGGTTGTCCTTGTCTAACCTAGAATATTAAAATAATTAGCTTAAATCTGTTGAGGACAGTAATGAGCCATTGATTTAGCAGTGTTACCCTCCTCATACTTCCCTATCTTTCTCCTTTTCTTTCCAGACTGCCTTATCACACCTTTCTCTTCTTTTTCTAGCTGAAAGGAAGCCTCCACTTTTCAACATGAATGCAATGAGTGCCTTATATCACATAGCCCAGAATGATTCCCCTACGTTACAGTCAAATGAATGGTAAGAGAGCTATTACCAGATCATTTTAAACGTTTTTTTTTCCCTGAAATTGCTTTGCAACACTCTCTACATGGTTCAAGTCTGACAAGAAAAGTGTTTGTTGCAATGTAGTGATTTGACTGCGTTCTCCAATAATGCTCCTGCGTAGGCAGGCTCAATTTTGACCTTCTGTCACTTTGGCTGTGCTACAATCTAAATGTGTGGAGGTGTTAATTATGGGGCTGTAGATGCTGTAGGAATTAAAATATTCTTGGATGTGTTAAGCCAGCCGTAGCTCAGCATCAGCAAAGTTTCCAGCTGCAAAAGATCCCTGACAGAAGAATCGTTAGCATTGTAGTGCAGCTGCAATGTGGAGAAAGGGAGGGGAGAGGTACACAGAATATAGAGGTAATTAGATTACTATTTTTTTTTCAGTGAGTGACTTCAAAAGTGATGAGAGCTCTGTGGCCAGTAAATACTCCCCATGCTACAGGCTTGTTCCAGAATCTGAGCTTTGATACTAGAATGGTTTGTTATTCTGTGGGAGCACGGGGGTTACCCCGTTTCCTCTTTCCTGTACACGAGAGTGGAAGGTAGCTATGCAGTGGTGCTTGGCAGAGTCTGCAGATGGCCTGAAACAGGAGAGGTGTGAAGTTCCCCCAGTTACACTGCTATGCATTTAAGTAGCGCATTTGTTTCATCGCTGATCATTTTATCAGAAACGCTCCGCTTCAGTTTCCTTATTTCATCAGCTCTGTGTTGTCCATTTTTCAAGACTGAAAGAACTTGGTCTCCTATCTGCATCCCGATACCCATGTTCTTCTGTGCAGAATTGGCAATGCAGAATAGAGACGACTTGTGACTGCAGTATAAGAATCGGTATTCCTGCTAGCAAGCAGCTTGTTTATAGTCACCTGTTTGCTCTCTGTGGCTTTGAGAACACAGGGAGTAAGCAAGGTGCCTTTCGTGCTGCTTTCGAGTTCAGTGGCACTTAGAAGAAGGGTTTTCTTCTTTCCAGTTATGATACGAGCTCATATAACGGAAAGATTTGTTGAACTAAGCCTTGTATCAAGGCGCTTTGCTGAGTCAGTGTTACAAATGGTGGGAAGCTTCTAGAGAGCCCTTTCATCAGCTAGCTTAAAAAGTGTGTTTCTGGACTTACCAATAGTTCCATTGTCATCTATTTTTAAGTAGTTGAAGTAAAATTGAAAATAGTGACTGGTACACATAGGTCTTCCTTGGTTTTCAGATTGTGGTTGGGGATAATTGTGTGTCTGTGTTTGTTTTAACAGTCTTGAACTGTTGAAAGAACTGGTGGGGTCAACTTACTCAGAATTTGGAAAAGTCCGGTTAATTTCTCTGCCCTAGAATTTAAGAACAAATCAGTCAAGGTTTTTCTTTTGCTTTGTGCTAATAAATCGGAGTATATTCCAGATCCTAAGCTTCTTTTTCATTTAGAACTTTTTCTTTTTTTTTTTTTTTTTGTTTGATTTACAGGTCAGACTCCTTTAGGGGATTTGTTGATTACTGCTTACAGAAAATACCTCAGGAAAGGCCATCATCAACAGATCTGTTACGGGTAATTTTTCAAAACTTTTCCAGAAATTTGGGAAAAATCTGTTTGTCTACCAAAATAATTCTAAAGACGGTGAACAAATAATTGCCCTTTAAAAAAAAAAATATTGAGTTTGCTCTCGTCTGAATCAGTAGAGTTTTGGGGTCTTCTAAAGGGTATTTTAGGCTGTTTAACTTTGTTTCCTGACTTTGCCTGTTATGTCAGTCACAATACTTTTTATAATGTGATGCTCAAGAATCAAACTACTGCCGTAAAGTAGAGTTAGGCTGTTTGGTGAGACAGTTACACTGTAGAGTAAGGAGTCATTTGGGGAAGCAGCCCAGCACCGTGTTGTTCTTGCGCCCCAGAGCTCTGCAGAGGCTACAGTTGTGATGGAGAACTACTATCCTCATGAGATAGTAGTGTGAGTAACAGGTTTTTTAGCTGAAGGAAGGACCTGTCAGCAGGAGGGGGATAGAAGAATTTAATGTTGATTTTTTTTTTTTTTTTAATTTTTTTTTAATTTTTTTTTTCCCAAGGCAGTGCTGTATGTACTTTAACTGAAAGTATTATCAAGGACAAGCAGGTCCAGAGCTGGGTTAGTTAAATCTGTGCTGCAGAAGTGAGTTCCAGCCGATAGTTTTTTGCGTAGACAGGGCTTAGGAGCGTGTTTCCTCCTGCTTTGATGAAGAAGGAATTTTCACCAGCCTCTCTGCTGTACTGTGCTGTCAGAAGGATGCCCTGAGCTGTGACCATGCTGCACTACGTGGTCTCTGAAAGAGCAGACAGAAATGAGGGAGGACACTGGAGGCAACACTGTTTGGCCTTTAAATGGGGGCAGAGGGAGTGGGGAAATTATGACTTGGTGCTGTTTGTGTGAAAGCAAAGACCTTTTTGGACCAGTTATGCAGTTTTGTGTAAAGTAATGTAACCATTAACTTCCTTCTCTTTTTTTTTTACCCCCTGCTCACGTTCTTCAGTAAGGAAAAATGTTATTTTTCTGTTGTGTAACAGGCAATGCTTGCTCCTAAGCTTATATGCAATTTCGGTAAGATTTAAGGCTTGTAATTTACTACAGGCTTTCTCTGTGGAAGTGACAGAAAATCTAAAAATCCATTTTAATTGCTACTCAAAATCTAGACTTAAACCAGTCTTCATAAGATGCATAGGCAATGGCAAATCTTTTGCAGAGCTGGTAGTGCTTTGAGAATTGTACTCCACATGATCAGAGGATTGAGCTCTTAATAAAGATTTACAGATAGTGGCTGATTATTTAAAGGAGCATGGGTATTAGAGATGGAAAGAGACTGGATGACCCACGTCTATCTCATGGTCAGAGCAGGATTGTTCTGTCTGCAGTGCTTTGAACTGTCCTGTCTTGTCTTTTTTTTTTTTTTTTTTTTTGACAGACACAGGCTAAGTTCAGGAAGGTTATCTTGACCTTTTTCCTCTAGTAATGCTAATGTGAGCACGATTAATTCTTTATCTGTGCATACCTTTTGAATATGCATCTTTTCATGATCTTTCTGCCTGATCTCAGTTCAGCTCTTGTTTTTGCCGTGTTTGTGTAAATGACTCATTTGGGCCTTTCTGATCTACTTTTTGGGTTGTTGGTTTTTTTTGTCTAAAGTTACTCTGGCTGAGTGGGCATTTCTGGCGCTAATACGCATATCGTGAAGTGTTACTCCAGGTGTGGTTGCGTGGGAGCTAGGAAAGGCTGCTTCTGCTCTGCGATGTGACAGTAGGAGGTTGTGATGCTGTGTTCTTTTCACTGCTGTCTGGTGCGGAATTCCTGACAAATTTACCGATTAGTGCCAACTGTAGATCCCTCCTCATATTATTACTTACCAAACATACTTTGCATCTGTTTTTTTAATTGTGTATTTCCAGACATCACACTTTTTTCAACTTCTGTCTCTAGTTGTGCAGTGTTGTATTTCTATCTGTGTTTCTGATCTCCATTTTCCAGTCATCTCTTTGTTGTGGATGGGTTTTGAGCAATTCCTCTTGATTCATTAACATCTTGTAATGTGTTTGCTTCTTTGCTATATTCCTCCATCATACTTGGCTGTTAAAAGTAGCACTAACAGGTTAATAACTAGGTTAACTTCTGCCCCTAATCAAACCACCAAACCCAAAAGTTGTTTATATCCCTTTAATAGTTTCTATGCTGAACCCAATTAATTAGAACTTGTTTTGGAAATAACTATACCGTTTTGGAAAGTGCCATGTACAGGTTCATAATTGCCAAGAGTGTGTAGGAGGGGGACCTGTGCTGGGAGTGATGTGTCCAGAGTTTGCCAAAGTTTTGTCAGTGAATCATAAATCAGTTCCAGTTTAAGCCACTGGGTTTCAGTTTACCTGAGAAGTATCGGAACTGCTTATAACTCCAAGGGCTTTGTGTTTGGGAAGTTCAGGAGCAGCCTTCCGTTAGAAGGTAGGGATGTGTGAAATCCTGTCCAGCCCCTTTTCCATAAGGCGCTTTTTTTTTTTTTGAAGTATTTCCTTTCTTTAAAATTGATCAGTGGCCCTGCTATTCCTCTGGTTGCTGTACATAGCTGCTGGAGAGCATTGCATGGCATGCTGCTGTTCCACACCAGGTAAACAGGACTCAGTTTTTCCTTAAATATTTGAGCAGAAGAATTGCTAGCTGCTTAATTTCCACAGTAGGTTAAATTGCTGCTCTGTGTCTACCTGACAGCCTTTTCATGCCGATTTTTTTTTTTTTTTGTCTTTTTTGTTCTAAGGCTACCATTCAGCCTTTGTTTTATGGCTTCTCTTGTTGCTCTTTCAGCTCAGTGAAATGCATTCTCATGGATGTTTCTCAGCCTCTTGGTTCTTGAAGAGAGAAATCGAAACCCTGCACTCTTTACTGAACAGCTAGCTTTGCACTCGCTTCTGTCCTTGCTTTAAGCCTGGACCATATAGAATATTTAACCCTCATGCCTTCACTCTCCAGGTAAAGGCTGATGAACGAGCTTGTTTATACTCTCTCTTCGGCACCTGGTGTATATCTGTTTGGTTTTTTTTTTCTGCGCGATACATTTGTGCTGTGGCACATAACCGGCGTTTTGTTCTCTGGTTCTGCTTGCAGCACCCTGACAATCTTTTGACCAGCTAATAGGTTTATGTTGTCGGTTTCAGAATGATTCATTCATGTGGATTGGCAGCCTTTCTGCTCTCTAGGAATAGTGTAAGTTCATTGAGGGATATGATTTCATAAGTGCCTTAGGTTGGAGTCTGTACAAACAATTGGAGCCGAGATCTTATTCTGAAGTCATGTATATTCAGTCTTTTTATTTGGTTTTAGACTTTCAGAACAGTACCCTAGATGTTCTCTCCTGCAGTACCTCTCCCTAAAGCTTGTTGGATTATAAAATTGAAGAATCTTTTTGTGGTTTTAGGGTTTTTCACTTGTGTACAGTAAACAGGGATAGAGCAAATTTTTGTGGTCACACGATCTTAAAGAGAACTGAATTTTAAATGAGGTGTTTGAGAATGAGTTCAGTTTCCATGCACTATCCCAGCTGAAAACAGTCAAATGACTGTAGGGATATTACAATGCAGTTGAAATTAAAAAAAAAAAAATACATTGAAAAAGCCCCAAAACTATCTCACTAATGTTTTTCACTTAATATTAAAGCCATTTTAAAATTTATTTTAAACACTGTTTCCCTATTTTTCTCAGCTTACGTGACATTCACGGGAGACTTGAGTTCTGTTAGTCACCACCAACTTGGGACGTGCCTTTAGACTAACCTCTTCCTCCTTCTGAGTCATTTTGGTTTTGTATGTTTGATTGTTGTTTTTTTTTAACTTGACATTTGGAGAAAGTGGACAAATTAAGTCCTTTCAGCCATCATTTCTTAGAGTTGCACAGTACCTAGCAGAGGGGTGCCTACCTCTTCTATGTGCAGTTTAGACAGCTGGGTAATGCAAGTGAGCAGCCAGAATTGTATCTGCATTATGCAAGAGCCTTTTGGTTTTCACTTTTGTGCATCTGCCCTACAGCTTCCATGTGGTTGCACTCTGATATTTAAGTAGTGCTTGAATACGAAGAACATAGTCTTTCCAGAGAAATGAGTATTTGCACTGCTAAAGAATATGCGTAAACCAGTAGACACTGGACATAAAGGATGAATTTAAGTTCAGGATCATTGTTCTAAATGCATTACTGCTTTCTGAAAATTATCTACAATGAGAGAAAAAAGTTACCTTTCTCTTATCGTAGATAAACTGCAGATTGTTAATGTTTACAGAGAAATAAATGGTGGTTATCTGCGTTGAGGAGCAGAAATGATTCATTTTGCTCCTGTGTGAAATGATGTTCAGAACTTTTAGCTATAATTCGAAAATGAACACCGTCACTATTAGGAAAAAATTGATAGTGAAATGATTAGCTGTACCCATTAGCAAAACCCAAATGATCAACAGTTTGAATTCAAGTTAAAAAAAAGAAATAAGCCTGTGGCACAATACTCTCCATGTTTATTTACAAATCATTAAAAAAAAATCAGCTCATCCTTTCAACTTCTTTGTACGTAAGACTCCTGTTTGGAGGACTGGGTTTCACATGTTGGTTACTCCAGCTACAGCTGGATGTTATAGTTCTTCAACTTGAGGGATGGCAACACATCTAGGGTAGAGATGCTCCTCCCTGTCCTATGGGACCATGAGGTCACCAGGTGTGCAAAGAGCTGGAAGGCCCAGTGAGCAGACATGACCCTCCTGAGAATGTCTTTGCAGGTGGGGTCCAGCTGTTGAAGCTCTCCAACAAAAGGCAATTGCAAGGCAGGATAGAGAACATTTTCCCCTTTCTCTTTTTCATTGTTAATGTTTCTAGAAATGTGCAGATGATGCTTGGGCCTTCAGGCCATCTCCAATAATCCATATTAAGCAACGTACCCAACTGTAGTGATTCCAAGTAGAATTTCAGCAAGAGTATACTCAGACTGTCTACTTTAGTCAAAGGTTAAATGAGAAAGCTGCAAGGCTTTCATACTCTACTGCAAGTTGTACAGTTCAGGAGAACGTATCTGATAAGTCAGAGAAGAGCCTTTAATCACGTACTCAAATTCCATTGAAGAATTTATCGTTAAGTCTGCACTTAAAACCTGTGCTTCTAAGTACATCCTTAGCAGGAGGTGGCAAGAACCTGGTTTTGCTTTAACTCAAATTGGCTACAAATGCTTGAAGTAGAAATAAACCTTGCAGTCTTCTTACTGGTTTTATGTATGAGTTGGAATAGATAGATGCAGGATAAACCTTTGTGTGTAGCTTAGGCAGGTAATCTTGCATAATCAGGATTGATTCTTCTTTGTCTTTTATGCATTTTGTTCATTTTAAAGTCCTATGCTTTTGTAAGGTTTGAAATGGCACTGTCTTGTATCTTGCACGCATCAAGCCACCGAGCTCAGGAAGGAACGGATTAGCTGTGCTGTCTGGAGAGCTCAGGAAACCCGACCCTGGTCCGAACTGTTCCATTTCGGACAGAAAAGTGAATCGGGGAGTGAGGGCTAAAGAGAGCTTGCGAAGGGTCAGCCAGGTCTCGCACCTCTCCGTCCACTACTCAGCTTCTCCTGCTGCTGATGTGCCTGTGCGCGTGCGTACACACACACACGAGTTTCACGTAGCAAAGTGATTTTTGCCTCACTTCTTTCTACTGTACGTTTAGTTGAGTTCGGTGCTTAGGCATATCTTCTGACTTCTGGACAAAACGTTTTGCAGCCCACAGGTCAAAACTCATACCGCGTAGTTTGGTCAGTTTGGTTATTTGACGTAGGGATGAGCATTCAGTGCTGAGTGTGTTTGGAGTCTTTCATACTGGGTATTACTAATTATTGACTATGAACAGACCGATTGCTGAATATGAACTGTCATTTCAGGTGTCTCTTAAAAAAAGACGCTGTGTCAGTGTCTTTACATCAAAGATACTAGTGTCATGTCTGAAGCTATGTGTTTTGTTTTCCTTTAATTTAGCATGATTTTGTTCGCCGAGACCGACCACCAAGGGTACTAATAGACCTCATACAAAGGACAAAAGATGCAGTACGTGAATTGGATAACCTTCAATACCGGAAAATGAAGAAAATCCTTTTCCAAGAGACGCGGAATGGCCCACTGACCGAGTCTCAAGAAGAGGAGGAGGTACTTTTATTTTATTACCCTGTTTGCACTGTTACAAATAATTTTAGGGCAAGTGAGATGTTCCCCCCACTTAAGGGGGCAGAAGCAGCACAGCCTAGCTGAGGATGCAATCCATGTTATTGGAATATTGTCTGGATCAGCACAGATATAGGTAGGAAAATGAGTAACAGTAGCCTTTACTTGGTGCATTTATTAGTAACTTGAAAACTTTGGGGGTTTTCAAATGGTGGCGTTTCTTCTGAAAGCTTTAGGGAAGAAACTCTTTTGGAGGGAGATTCTCTGTGAGAAGGAAGTGGCTCACAGCCTGTGTGAAGGAGGGTCTGTTGGCAGTCCAAGCTTTTCAGTCTCAGAAGCACAGTAAAGACCCCTTGATTAATGTTAGTATTTTTTTTTCAGTTACCATAACTTTATTTTAAAGTATTTGGCCTATCATGAGCTAAAAAGCGAATCACCAAATTAGTAAGAGTTATTTTTTTAATTCATTACTATTAAAGAAAAAAATATTAAAGACATAAGATTTAAACTGCAGCTGAATTTTATAATAAACAACCCACTTAATCAGTGTATGATAATTGACGCTAACTGTGGCTTAGAGAAGGAAACCAGTCATTTTTCAATTGATGAGATTAGATGGAAATTAATATCATTTGGTGCAGGCACATTGGATAAATAAATCCAGGACTGGTTCTCAAAAAAAAAAAAATTGACAGGCAAATTGGTGTTTGTATTCCTGTTTGCTGCAGTATAGCAAGATAATATGTAGTGAGATGGCCGAGCTCAGCATATATTCGGGGACTTGGATTTGAGGTCTGTGTGTGTCAAGTGTTCCTTTAAGGCTAAAGTAGAGCTCTGGCTGAAGAAATGGGTGGTGAGCCTGGGTGTCAGGGGAGCAGAGAGAAGGAGGGGACTGACACTTAGCGCTGTCCCTTGCGTTGAAGGAGATACACAGAAGCAGCAAGAACAGCAGCCACTGCCATTAAAGCTATGAAGTGCTTCTGTTCTAGCACTCCAGCTAGCCAACTTCTAAATCTGGAGCTTAGTTGTTGGGGCGGGCAGAGGGGGGATTTGTCAGATTTTTGCACAGAGACCTTCAAGCTTTGTCTACCTGTGTGTGAAAAGCTGTTGGGAGAGTGATAGGGTAAGAAAGCACAAGGGGAGGTGTTTCCCACTTGACTGTTCAGCAGATCCAAGCTCAACAACTAAGTGGGGTACCTCTGGTAGCAGTTGACTCCAAGATGTATCTTCTGTTCTCCTGTTCCACTTCTCAAAAAAGGGGGAAGGAAGGAGATTGTATCTCTAGGAATTAACACTCTAATGAAGCTCACACTCTGCATGTGCACAGCATGCTCTGCACTGTGTTTTACCACTGAGCTTGTGTACCACGGAAGGAGGTTGTACTGCTCGTATCACTAACTTGGCAGTGAAAGGAAAAGAGCACTTGCTTCGGTTACTACTTAACTGGTTAACAGAAGCTGCTCAATTGCAAATGCCACCAGGCAGTTTGTTTTTCTACCTTAGACTTTCAAAGGTAGAAAAGGAGCATTACAAACCTTTAACACTCCAAATACTACTAATGCTTTCCTCAGAGCTCTTGCAAGACAGTTAAGGTCACTTGGAAAGTATTCAAGTCAGGAAGTCAATGTTAAGGTTGCATATGCAACTTTATCTCTGTCCTTCGTGCATATACATTCATTAATTACATAGCCATATCCTCATCTCGGGTGCTTTATTACATTATTTCTCCTGCAACTTTATATAAGCATCCTGGAAGTGTTTTTCATATGTTCTCTGTAAAATAGTATTATTTTGCATTTTGGATTTTAAGTGCTCTTATACAGGCTCTGAACGATCTGCTGATTGCTTAAAAAATAATCCCCCAATCAAATACAAATCTGTCAAGTCTGTCAACTTCATCTTTCTGTCGGTTTCCAACAAAATGAGTACCCTGTTAATTGATTTGTAATGTAATTCTCCCCAAGATCACTCTGGAGGCCAGGACAAACTGGGTGCAGTAGTAAGCCACTGATTTTGGTGAATCAAGGCTATTTTGGACCAGGAGCTGAAGGATGTTCGGAGTTCTTGGTCCTTACTGTGAACTCCTTGCAAGCCTCTTCAGTGCCCCGCTGGTTAATTACAAAGGACTCCATAGATTCTCTAAATCCAGATTAAGCGCATACTCTGGGATTACAGAGCTGGTATGAGTATGCAACAAGAAAAAAAGACTGCTAACATCTGATATTTGTCTGTAGAATAAAAAAAAAATCCTATACAAGGAATAATAATTTACATATGACTAAGTAGATTACAACAGTTTTAATCACTGTAATGATGCAGGCTCTTCTGAGTCAGCTGCTAAAACGTGAATGAAAAATTTATCTTGGCTGAAAACACAAGGTAGAGGGTTTTTTAGCTTGGCAAAATGTACTTGCTGACTGCTTGGGACATGGAGGTTAAAACCTCTACACCTGTTAAGCATCATGTGATAGTTATCAAATCATAAAGAAGTGGGTTCATTGTCTTACATCTCTTCTGATTCACAAAATGTGTTGTAACATACCCTGACTTGGAACATTGTTTTAACACAAACTCAGATTGCTCCTGTTAATTATGAGACTCCTTCCACCAGCCATCCAGTATCCCTGGATGTCTCTTATTCAAGCCAAGAGCCATGCCCAGACTTACTGATATGTGGAAAAAATTGGCTTGAAGCCTGGTGTAGTAAGATTGCAGGAGAAGAGGCAAAAGCTAACTGCCCCACATGGAGTATTTCATAACCCAAGCAGCATTGAGAAACGTAGTTGCCAAAATAACGAGCAAAGAACCTTCAACTCTGCCGAGTCGCCTTTAAAACAAACTTTGGGCACTGCAGGCACGTGCTGGGCAGGTTATCTCCTGCAGTATTTGTAACTGATGCCCCTTGTTTTATAGGACAGTGAGCATGGATCAAACCTGAGTAGGAAGATGGATAGTCTGGGCAGCAACCATTCCATCCCGAGCATGTCTGTGAGCACAGGCAGTCAGAGCAGCAGTGTGAGCAGCATGCAGGAGGTCCTGGATGAGAGCAGCCCTGAACTGGTCATGATGCATAGTGACGAGAGCACAATTAATTCCACTTCCTCCGTTGTTCATAAGAAGGTATGTTCGCTGGTGCTCTCCATAGCTTCCCGCAGTCCCTGCTGTTGCTCACGTTGGCTCACCCCCGTAGGGCTCGACGATCAGTGTGCTGTGGTCTTGTGCTGAGCCATCTGCTGAGAGCAGGAGCTGGTGCTGGGCTTGCCAGAATCAAGTTCTGTGGTTTTGGTTTGTGGTTTGGTGGTGTTTTGTGTTTGGGTTTGTTTTTTGTTTTTTTTTTTTAAAGCTAAACTAGTCATAGATAACCTCTGAAAATAAAAAGATGCTGCTAATGGAAGGTAGCGCTGTCAGTGTCTAGGCAGGGTTCACGCAAACTTACTGCATGCTTCCTTACTCAGCCCCGCACGTGCACTTCTTCATCTCTGCTTGTACCATCAGTCCTTGTTTCCTTGTGAATGATTATACTGTAATATGTAGTATGGTGACCAGTGGTCGTAGCAGCTAAGCTAACCATTTACCAGTCACAGTGTATGATTAAAATCTGCTTGCGCTTGGATTTCCCTCATGAGAAGTGGAAGTATGCAGAACTTTGGACCCTTCCCACGAGGTATGTTTTGAGTCAAGTTCCACTCAATGCTTTTCTGCTCTTTCGCTGCATGCTGTGATCGGTTGCCTTTCGTTTCCTTAGTGCTAGATATCAAGCTAAAATTGTCTAGCTGTAAGTCAGCATCTAATCTAAGATTGTTTGACTAAAATAGTTTTGGCTTGGCCTTAGCAGTGTCGTTTGCTAGTGGGCAGTAAAATGTAGGTTGTTTGTGTGACTGCATTTGCAAAGAGCTTCAAAGTGTACATATGCTTTTTGCCAGAGGAGCTAAAACATTACAGCAGCGTGAAAAGTATGAATTTCTCATTTGTAGAGTTACAGCAAAGCCTGGTTCTAACTAACTAAATATTTGTAAGCATTTTTTTCCCCCTGCAATAAAGCGTTTGTGTAATTGAATACTGAAGCACTTAAAATTTCTTGAGCTCTCCTCTTACGTCTTCAACAAAAAGATTGCCTTGCATATTTAAAGATACTGGTAGATAAGTTGCATAGGTTTCAGGGGTTTACATCTTTCTCAAATACATCTGCGATATCACCTTCAGAGAAGATTTTATTTTCACCTTTTTGAAAAAATGATGTTAGGTACAAAATGCCAGCCCGAGGAACTGTCCTGAACGAAGAGCGGCACAACTGATTTTATGTTCTGGGTGATTATAGTTGGAGCTTTGTCCTACTTTCTGTGGGCTTCAGAAATGCGTATTAATTTTGATTTCACATTGTTAAGTAGTCATATTTACATATGCATTAGAATAGAAGTCATACATTATAATGTTACTGACTGATCAATGTCATTACAGTTGATTAAAACAAAATGTGAGCCACTCCCATCGGACATAAATTACATTTGTGAAAGAAGTTGAGTCCCTGCTTGGTTTTAAGAATAATATTTTGGTTTACGGTGGTTGTGTGGCACTTCTAAAGTACAAGTACAGGAAGATTCCCAAGGCTATGAATTCGGTCCTTTTGGACTTCTGTGTAGCTGTTGTTTGCTTTAAGACATTCAGTTGAGTAGAACGCATAAGCGTGACGCCAAATGCAAGTTGCTGTTATTTCGTTTGGAAAAACAGAGTCTCTTGCACACTTGTCACTGAAGTATTGTAAAAGCAATCACCTCTGGATCACTTAGCTCACGTGTGTTAGGGTAATTTTGGAAGCACAAACCCCAGATCTTCACTTGGTGGTCTTTACAAAGTAGTTGACGATAGGCTGCGGTTGCTGCTCGCTGCAGTGGAGCGGGTATCGTCTCAATTGGCAGATGTTACCTTCTGCTGCATGTACACATAAGGTGAATTTAGACTATGTGTAGCAGGACATATTCCAGTCTGCAAATACAGTGTTTTAATTTAGTAAATGATTTTTGTATTCTCTTTTACTTTGGGGAATGCAATTTTAAATTGAAAACTGCTATACATGTGAAAAGACTAAAATTGGAACAGGACATTTCAGGGGGTTTAAATACACATACATCCCACTCTATTTTCAAGGTGAAATTCCTGATTCTGAAGAAACTTCCATTTGTCTGTGTACTGGCTTTAACTGTGTTTCTGTAAACTGTGATGAAGCTAATCCACACAAGTTGGTTTTGTTCTAGCAGGTGAGAAGTAAGGGAGTGCTGACGCTCCGGAGCCTAATCACAAACCAAATGGAAAGAACCTGGGTTCAAGTTTAAATTAAGCTTTTGTTTTGCATTTAATCAGCCTATAAAGGCTAAAAAGAAAATACTGATGAACATAATTAGCCAGCTGTCTCCATTATGTGGGCATAGGGTCACATATGAGATTGTTTTGACACAGGTCAAATCAAAGTGTTGTGTAAAATTATGGTATTCCACAAATGTGTTAATTAACAACCTCCAGAGGTACCAGACTGTAAAGTGACCAAGATGGCAAAATTGCCTAGGCTGTTGATATTTCCTAAGGCTCAAAGCTCTAAGTGCCAGAGGCCTTTTTGATTTCTTTGGACCACAGCCCCACAATGTCCTGTGCAATTGTAAAACGTAGGGTGAAGAAGTCTGTGGTCGTGTGTGAAATACAGTTCCCAGCCTTCAGTGCTTCAGCCCGCTGCTCTGTGTGAGGAGCCAGCCTGGAGTAGCGTTTACTTGGTGTAAATCAGGAGCAGCCCTCAGGCTCTCGCTGCATCACCTGCGTAGTGCTGGGCTGGGAGAAGCTTCGAGCATCCCCCTCAAGCACTGCTAGCATCTATACTGTGACCAACTCCTCTGAGGCAAAGCGTAAGAAACAGGCTGATGGAGCAAAAGCATTTGTAAAGTGTTTTATGTGGTTTTCTTTAACAGCTGCTAGCTGGCTGTGACTTCCAAAACTGTTTTGTGGCCGTAGAGTAAGTGAAATGGCCTGCTGCTGATCTAGTTAACTTTGACTGGCTCTGCTGGTTCGTGATAGCCAAGATGGTTGGGTTTTGCCTGACGGAGAATAGTAATAAATCCTCCCTGAAAATCAGGCACAGCCTCGCTCCTTCCACAATACAAAAGCTTTGGGGCAGCAGTAGTGCTCTGTTTCTAAACTTGTGCTTAGAACAAAGGTGACTCCTACCTGTCAGCAGAGTAATGCTTGTGAATTGGAAGAAAAATCACTGGACAGGAAGAAAATAATAATAATAAGCCCTAATTGAATGTGTAGCTTTTTATATAACTTAGTTGTTTTTTTTTCCTGAGAGGAAAAAAATGTAGTAATGCCTGGTACTCCGGCAGGAAGCCTGCATCCTCCCTTCCTGGGATCTGAGTCCATCCTTAGGATCAAACACTGCTTCCACAGGAGGATGCCATGATCACCAGCAAGTTTTTTTACAGGGAATTTGCATGTCCAGCTTGGGTGAGCTGTCCTGCCCGAACTTTTCTTTGCCCCTTTGCAGGTTTCAGATTGGTGACCTCCCCCATGTAAGGCACTATATGATCAGTGTAAGAGTTCTGATTTTTCTAACCTCCCTCTTTTGAGAACAGTTAACATAACTGTGCTTCTCCATCCAAAGATCATCTTACCTATGGATACGCATTCTCATGTCCATCTCCTGTTGGGAGCTAATTCAGTTGTTCACCTACACAGGTTGAGAACTGAAGAGTAAACGACAGCTCTAATGCAAACCCAATTGTATATGAGAACGCAAAAAAAAAAAAAAGTCAAAATGGAGCAGGGAGTTAAACTCCAAATACAGTGAGCTTCAAAGACACATAACTGAATTTTTAAAAGCAGGTAGGTATCTGTTAATTCATCTTAAAATTAGAATGAAGATTTTGGTTCCCTAAGAGTATAGGCATCAGTTGATGCATCGTAGGTAGTTTGTTATCTGCTCTCTTCAACTGCTGGTATATGTCAGTGTGTGTACAGGTGGCTTCCCAGAAATACTATTTTGTTGTCCTAAATGAATATGCCAAGTGGTAGGATTTAGAATGCTCCCACCTGGTATTATTTTATTTCAATAAAACTTTATAATAGTAAAAAAGATTGTTCCCTTTGAATCTAAGCAAAAAGCCAGTATGGTATTGTTTTGTTCAACTGCAATACAGAGTTGTTGCTGTCACTCACTTGAACCTTAAAATCATCTGTATTTATGAAGGTGAAAGTTGGGCAATAAAAATATCAGGGAAATCTTCTGATTAAAATCTAGTTTTTAACAAAAGGATGAAAAGAGGATGGTAATAGTTGATCTTCACAAATTCTTGCCCGATGTCTGTAATAAAAACATACTTGTGTAATAACTGGCAACTTGAGTGACTTTCCAAATCCATTAAATTAACTTGTACATGTCACCGGTCACTGCCAGGATTGACATGCAGTGTTCGTGCTGAATTCTGTGGATGGAGAGTGCTCTTGCATGACGGTCCTATGTCAGGTACAGCTGAGGCAAAGCTGAGGGTGTTTTCCTACAGCTCAAGATTTGTGATTCGTATGGAAAAGACGTTGCTTTTATGAGATGTAAAGGATATTTAGGTAATGACTTACTGAGTTTTGGCTTGTGTGTGCCAGCAGGGATGACCCCTCGCGTACCTTCTGGAATCATGTCCAGCAGGTTGGTGACATGAAGCCTTTTCTTGAAAGACTCTTGCTACTTAAACCTCTCCATAAATTATCGAGGCATTTAGTGCAATGTATTAAAATGAACAAGGGCACACTGTTGTTTGCCTTGCTTTTTAAATTCTCAGAAGGAAGGGATTTGCTGCAATTCCATTGAAGTCCTTACTACGGCTCAGAAATTGCCCTTCCTATTTGCCTAGGAGACTGGCACTCCTTTCCAGCTAGTGAGTCCTCTTGTGTAAACAGTGTTTGTGAAGGTTTTTATTTAGGGTGTATAACGCAAGACACGTTGTGCAAGTGAATGTTTCTTTTGAGGTAAAAGATTGGATGTTTCAGCTTTGAGTTGATCCAGTGTGATCAGAGCTTGCAGTTGGGGTGTACGTTCTTTCCTGACTCAGCTGCTGAAGACGATGGGACTCCTGTCTCTGTATTTTGTTAATTCTTTGCACTTGTGTTTCATACTTTTTCAGTGCAAGGGTTGTTCAGCCATATGACAGTGGTATATACTGAAAAATGTAAATATCAAATGCAATTTATAGATCTGTCTTCCCGGTTTTGCTGTGATTAAAATCTGAGGCAAAAGTCTCGTTCTCAACTCGAGTTGTTTTCTGTTTGCTTGTTCCAGTTGTCTTCTGAGCAGGTATTTTATTCACCTAGGATGGTTTGTTGCAGCAATGTGTTTGGTTTTTTTTTTTTCCCCTAGCATTTCTTGGAACAAGCTATGCCTGTCTCTAAAAAACAGAACAAAAAATTACCCGATCAGTGTAATTATTAAATGTTATCAGGAAGGAGTCTAGTTGGAGTATCTTGAACGTACAATGAAAGTGCTCTTAGTGGCGTTCTTAAAAATGCACGGCAACGGTGTTAAGCAGATATTGCTGAAATATTGCGCTGGCGTTGGGGGCTGGGGATGGTAAAGTCGTTTTTTCAGTGAGAAGGATGAAAAGACTGTGGTAGAACCGGTGTGGGGCTCTAGAGAGCAAAATTCAGGTCCTTACTCTGTAGGATGACCTTGGACAAGACTCATCGGCTTGAAACCCATGAGCATTGTAAGATGCTCAGACAATACACTGGTAGATGTGGCCATTTAGACATCCAGCTGGAATCCGCTCGAATCAATTTGTGTCTGAACAAATGTTCTGATTGCTTCTCTGTATTTCTATTTATCCAGAGATTACCTTCCACAAGAACAATTTTTCTTTTTTTTTTTTTTTTTAAGGTTACTTGTTAATCCATGCTATATGTAGGAGTCCTGCCTTTTGGGTTTTTTCATTGTTTTTGGGAGACTTGCTCTTTAGCATCATGTAGGTAACTGGAAGCTCCCCCAGCTCTCTCATCGGATAATACTGTAGAAATGTTTGAGAGTTTTTGTCCAGGCAGATATGATCAGCAATTTCAAAGCCAGCACCCAGCTAAATACCCCCATTTGTTGTGATCAGCCTGAAAACTGTTTATGTAGCAGATAATACAGTCAGAAGAACAAATTATTTCTTCAATGGGAAGTTAAAGATTCTAGATTGTTGACCCTAAATAGAAGGATTTTAAAGGTTTAATGGGAGTTGCAATCTGAGCGTGCCTAAAGTTGTACTCATAAGGCAAATGTTGCAATAAACAGGGAAAAGGGATGGCAAGTGAAATATACATGAAAGATACGTTACGTTGAAAACAAACCAGTGTTTGAACAGCAGAGTTAGGGTTGAGAGATACCCTGACCCAAACTTGATGGGTTTCTGGGATGCTTTCGGTCAGATTTTACTTACTGAGTAACTTGAGCTGAGGCACCGGTTGGGGATCTTTGTTTCCCACAAATCTGGAGCTAAAAGTTTGAAACAAAACTTCCTGATTTGTGGCAACATCCGAAAGGAAATACGATCGCAGTGTCTCTTAGCAAGCTTTGGGGAGAAGAAAAATAAACGAGCAGAAATCTATTTTCTGGGTTTGTAGGCAGATGTCTGCCATAGTAGCCATCAGTCACACTGTTTGAGGAAGGTTGATGGAGATACACTACTCTTAGGTTTATTTGTCTTATGGGTCTCTGTTTGCTAGCAGTCTCTGTGGTAGTGTCAATTGCTAGATTTGGTAAATCTTCGTGTCAAGTGACTTTATTTCTGGTGGCATGACAGGTTTTCTGAAAAATGTTTTGCCTATTAAGGTTGCAGGGGCTTATTTGAGAGTTAACAGTAGTTGCCTGCCTGATGCAGAGGGCTCGGATCCCAGATTAAGGGGTGCCAAGGATAACCATGGAGGTTTCTGTCCACTTGAAACCTGTCCTTTTGCTTGCTCAGTTGCAAAGGAATTTTCCCGTTCCTTGCCCAGGTCAATCTGAAATGGAGAATGCAGTTAATTCACATTGCTGAAGGGCAATTAGATTGTTCTGTGAGCTTCTTATGTGCACTGAAGTAACTAGAAGTCCCATAAAACAGAACCAGGATGACATTCTGCCCTCTGAGAATCCGCCTCTTCGATAACAGAAAGTAACCTACAGATTAAGATTCCCATTTAAGAAGCACTTCTAATTTCAACTCGTCATTTTAGGTGGTGTTTTGGAGCATTCTAAAAAATCTGAATGCCCATTTTAAAAGCTTCTTTTTTTCAGTGATTTGCTGCTTCTCTGGTTTTAATATTTCACATTCACCCTGGCATACTAATGTAATGGCGAGAGGCAATATGGTCTAGGGATTTGGGGTATTGCTAGCAGACCTTGGGAACCTTATAGGTTCACATGTGCTGCTGCAGGCTTTGTGTATGACCATGGGTAATATTTGGCCTGCCTCCACCTTAACTTCATAGCTCCTGCGTAGGTTTGTTTCTCTTGGAGTCCTCCATGGTTCAGATGGGTAAGTCTTGTATAGAGCTTTACCACTTATTCAGCTTTATTTTGTATATGAGGTGCTCCAGTTCCAGCCTGTAACAAAGGAGTTCCCTTTTGCAGGTGCTGGCTCCCTTCCCCTTGCACCAGCTTGCTTCATACTGCTGCGTTCACCGGAGGCTGGGTTTGCACAAGCCCCCCAGAGCCAGGTTTATCTCTGCAGAGCTGCTGGTTGGAGAGCGAGAGGCCAGGCTGAGCATTGCTTCTAGCACTGCCCCTTGCCTGGCTAGGGTGCCGTCACGCCGGGGGGCTCCAAAACATATCCGTAGAAATACCAAACTAAAAGGTGATGCTGGTAGCCGGCCCCTCTGCTTTGGGGTTGCCTGGGGTATCCCAAATTGTATTTCACAGAGTTCCTCTCACACCTACTTGATGGGCGAGAGAAAACTTGGGATTGATATTCTTCCAGTGAAGCCACGAGTCCAATTAAACTGAGTGATACTGTCAGACTTTAAATGTTTAATCAAGATTATTTTTTTTTCGGTATGACTATTCTAGCTCCCAAGACGTACCTTTCTCAGGAAAGTGTGCAAGTCTGAGAGCCCTGCCTGTCACATGAACGCGCACAAGTTGGAAGTCTAAGATCAGCCCAATTGCCACTAATTGCCCTGCTGGAACGCTGCCTCCCCCTGTTAACGCAGTGCAACAAAAAGTCCACTATGAGGATGACCAATATAAAATGAAACCACAGCTTTTTATTACACTCTGTAGTCCTACTCCTTCTATGGAGAGCTGTCCTTTTTACCTGTTTCAGCTTGTTCTGCTTCCCTGGGCTGGGTGCGGAGGAGCCGGTGCTGGCTTGGTTCTGTGATGGTCTTGGTGGTTGTGCAAAGACCATCAAAGTGCAAAGGCAAGTGAAAGGTGAGTGTAGACCGTACGCACTCAAAATGAAGACTATGAGAAAAGGTATTGGGTTTAAAGCACTTTAAATCAATGTGTTGTTCAGCTTTTTATATCAGCATTTTTGTACCTGTTCGGCTTTTGCTTGAAATCATTTACAGAATCATATTGAAAGTGGCTTGAATATGTGTGGGTCCAGACTAGAGGCAGCTAGAAATGGAGGACAGCAAGAGAGGGGAAACAAGTGTCTGCAGAGTGGGAACGGAGCGTCAGTACGACAGCAGTGTCATGGTGGAGGTACCACTCTGTATCGCCTGGTTTCTCGCCACAGGACTTTCTGACCTTACTGGTGTCTGCTCTGGCACGGCAGGGTGGCAAAGCCGCTTCTGCTCACCTGCAGACACCCAGTGCACGGCGGCAGTCGGTCTCCGCAAGGGTTGGTGTCATCTGTTTGCCTTTTGGTATAGGCACTTGTAGCCTTTATTTTGCACCCTGACAGTTGGAAACTTGATTTAATTCAGGGGGAATCCCGGTTTTCCTTCGAGGCTTTTTAGGAGCTGGAACTCGATGATGGGAGCGGTGAAGCTGTGGTAGATGTGCCGGCGCTGGCTGCCATCACTGCTGCCCCGTGGAGCCTGCGCCGCCGGGCAGGCTGCGTGGATGTGCCCGGTGTCCCAAAGCTGTGCCGTCCTGAAGGCGTAGCCAGCGGGTGCGCTGACTTGTGGCGGTCACCATCTCAATTAGCGAGATTGTGGTGGCGTTTTTCACCGGCCTTTCTGATTCGGGTCTCTCCTCTATACGCTTGCAGGGAACTTTGTCCCATTGGAAAACTTGCCCGCGCCGTTTTGCAGGTGCACAGTGAGAAAGAGGGAAGTTGCACCGGGAGCCATTGGTGCTAAAACCTGTGAGCTGTTGCTTTAAAAGGGGGGAGGAAAAAAAAAAAAAAATAAAATAATCCTTTGTGGGCTGTGGAGAGAAAGTGCTAGAACTGTGCAGGATCATGACTGGAAAGCAGGATCCCTGAGCGGTGACGGAGGCTTTCCAGGTCCTCTCCAGCCTGCCATGGTTTTAGCCAGGACGCGGGTCCTCCCCAGCAGATAGCGAACAGGAGACAAAGAAACCCGATCGAGGACGAACCGCTCGGCAAAGGGAATGAGGCAAAATGTTGCTCTTGTGTTAAAAGGGAACAGCATCCTTTTTGCTAGACATGGAAATCACGTTTCTAAGGGGATTGCTCGGTCGCAGTGCTTGAACCCGACCTTTCCGAGGAGTCCGATCGCTCCACGTCGCTTTATGCTTTCCAGCCTGTCTTTTTTCCGCACATATGTAATACCGGCG